TCTAAATTTTATATTTCTTCTCTTTGTTACTCTTTAAATTTATCTTTTTTAAAAAATTCAAATTTCCTTTTTAAATCAAAGTTCAATTTTTTTTTTTCCTTTCAAAGTTGTCACATTTTTCTTTCATTTTAAAAATATTTGTTAACTATTTATCTTTTTTAAACGACTTATTGATTGACATATTATTTTGAGTAATTTTTATTTCTTTTTTCTCTTGATTTGAAGAATCTATATTTATTGTTATATCTATTGATTTTTTTTATTTTTTATTTACACTATGCCCCTCTAGATTGAATTTCTGACTCCCCACTCGTGTGTTTGTGTTGCCGACAATTGACTGTGTTAGAGGGCCAACACTATGAGTAATAGATTACTCCGAGTTTGGCAATGAATATCGGTACACTTAAATTAATATTCTCAATTAATTTTTAAATTACAAAGTCAATCTTTTTTTTTTTTTAATTTTAACCAAAAGCTAATTTAAGCTCAAATGAAAATAGATTATAGACTTTGTACATTACATTTATGAGAAATTGATTATTTTGGTCAATTTGACAGATTAATGCAATAAAAATTAATGTTCAAATATCTTTATCATATATTAATAATTTAATACACACAAATTTTTTAATCGAAAAATCTAAGTGCCAATAGAATTATCTAATAATTCCATCTAAATTTAGAATTAGACAAAATATAATTAAAAATCTTATTTTAAAACTCCCAATTAATTCTAAATTTCACCAACACCAAAAGAAATCTGTATTCAAAACTGTGGTCCCAATGCTTTTAGTCTTGCCACATTAAAACACACCCACCATCTGTCCCGTCTCACTTGCGTCAGCATCTCAGCCATCTCACTTATGTCCCATCTCACCTGTGTCAGCATCTTCAATGGGTCCCCCAAGCTTAAGTGACACCATCTAAGCCGTCGATTATCCCAAATCATCTCCAAAACGGAACAAAACAAAGTTAAAATTGCCCTATCAATCTTTAAACAGTTACCCAATAGGTCCGCCACAACGAACTAACTGTCCCATGCTCTGTCGGCAAAGCCAAAAGTCGCCACGTGTCACTCTCGGAAAGCAAGCCTTATCTTTTGATGACCTTAAACATGACCTACGCGCGCGCGATTTTTAATTCTTGTTTGGGTAGAGTTCGATAAGACACGTCTTCATATTTGTATACGTGTCGGTTTTGAGACGCGAGTGTACTGAAACAGAAATGTCGCGAGTTTGTAGTATCTTATTATGCCATGAAAAGATGAAGTGGGCGTATCTCAGAATCACATACTTTTTAGTGGATAAAAAGGGTACCCTTCTTAACTGAAATGACAAAATTGACATTGGGCCTCGTGGATCACTTTTCTTTTGGGCCAAGGGCTGATGGTGCTTTTAAATTGAAATTTGAAATCATTCCAAAGTGGACAACTTTTTTTAATAATATAATTAATATTCCATTATAACCAATTTATATATGGCCAATCTAGCAGTGGTCTCAAAGAATTGTGTTTCATGTTTATGTTTTAAATATTTTTTAGGCATTCTGAATAAAAAAAAAAGAAAAAAAAAAAAAGCAAAGAATGACATATGCAACAATGTCCAAAGATGGGGAAAAATAATGTTACTATATATTTCGTTGAGGAATTACAAATGATAGAAAATTCGCCATAACCTAATCCAACACCTATAATGATATTCTACCGCTCAAGGTGCTTTAGATTTTAGAAGAATTGAAATGTTTCCTATATGCTTAGACTTTTCGCCCATTTTTTTTTTTGTGAGGATTTATATTATCTTCACCGCTTATGTAGTCCAATAAAAAAAAAATACGTCCTCTTTTATCAAAGAGATTAAAAAAATAAAATAAATCGAATCCTACCGAATGAAAAAAAAAAATCAGCATTTGAATAACCAAACCAAAAAGGAAAAAAGAGTGAAACCGCCATGAGGATCAAATTCCATTGATTTTTTTTTTTTTTTTTACTAATCATAAAAAAAGGGGAAAAAAAAGGAGAGAAAGAAACGGATTAGATTTTTGGGTAAAAAATAAAAATAAAAATAAAAAATAAAAAGAAGAAGAAGAAGAAGAAACACTAAGGGACATAATCTCAAAATCAGGTTTTTGAGTTTTGTGTTAAAATAAATAAAAAATAAAAAACCTAAATGTATGAAGAAAAAAAAAAGGTCCTACCTCCTTCAAAAATTCTTAACAATTAAATAATGATGTCTAGGACTAGAAGCTTGAGAGGAAGAAGATGGTGGAAAGATAGGACTAAAGTCGGTGCTGGAAAGAGAGAGACCCAAAGAACACGGTTGAACCCCCTTGAAAAAAAGAATACCCACTTTATCCGATCTCATTTGGGTAGGATCCGATTTATTTTATTTTTTTGATCTCTTTAATAAAAGAGAACGTGTTTTCTTTTTATTGGACTACATAAGTGGTGAGAACATAAGTATTGTCCTTTTTTTAGTAGATGGGCTATGAATATGGAATTCAATGATGTGCAATGATATGTGCAAGGGCGGCTCAATCTAATTTGGGGCTTTGGGTGAAAAATAAAAAGTGGCTTTTTTAACCACATAAATAAAAAGGAAAAACTACACATAAGTAGACTTAGGAGTCCTAAATAACAAAATAGTCTATTTTAAAAGTTTATTTTTCAATTTGATTAAATCAAATAAAATAATTACAAATGCATCAAGAATTATTATTAAGGGCCAAAATATCCTCCACACCCTTATTGTAAAATACCAAAATAACCTTCTTATAATCAATAATCATATATTTCAAAAAAAAAACCTACAACCTTACTCAATACTAATAGCTGATATTAAGATGTTAAATTTAGCAAGTGTTAATTACAACCACAAGTTTGACATATACCAAGGCTCAAATAAAATGTATTAATTACTTTAAATATAAGTTAAAGAGACGGGAGTCCAAGATAAGGCATTATTAAGAATGCCATTTACATAATATGGTAAATACTTGTATAATAAAAGAAAATTATTTAAGAATAAATTTATACTTGGAAAAAAATCTGCAATAGGTGTAGCAAATTTGGATGAATTCTCTGATCTATTTAGTCAAATGACATCCATCTACAAAAGTTTGCATCTTTTTTATTAAACAAGAACCATTCTATTTTAAGTTAGAATATATATATATATATACATATATATATATATATAGAGAGAGAGAGAGAGAGAGAGATGGTTATAATGAGATTATAAGAGCAACCTTCTTAATATCCTTTCCTGGAAGACAAATCATTGTAAGAGTTTAAAGGGTATTTTGGACCTTAACAATAGTTTTTGATGCATTTGTAATTATTTTTCTTAATTCAATCAAAGTGAAAAATCAATTTTAAAAATTGATCAATTTATTATTTAGAACTCTTAACTCTATCTATATGTAATTTTCCCTAAATAAAATTAGTTACAACTCAAAAACAAAATATACAAATATATATACACACACAAATTTATAATAACAAAAGTTAATAAAATTAAAAAATAATTAAAGAAAAAGAACCATTGAACCTAATTTAGAAAAAATAAAATTTAAAAATAATTAAAGAAAAATAACCATTGAACCTAAGAAAACCCAAATCCAGTACTTCTACAAATTTTTCAATAGAATAAAAATGCGTTCATAACATCTGTAAACTTGAAATTAGAGTATAAGGAGAAAGATTTGTTAAAAATAAGAAGATAAAACATAAAAAAATAAAAAAATAAAAAATAAAAAGAATATAGAAAGTTTTCGCCATTTTTCCAAACAATAACGTATATATAATATTTTGCTGTTGGTGTAACTTACCCTAAAATATTTTTAGTGCTGGTGTAAAAAATGTGAATGAAAGAGAAAGAAAGAGGAAAAAAAAATATTTATGATACAAATATTTGGGCCTAATATTAAATTTCTATATTGATTAGGATTTATTGTACAACGTGAAAGAGAATAGAAAAAGGGAGGGAAAAAAAAGTCATATAATTATGTAAATCTTTAGGGCCAATATTAAATTTATGTATCAATTAGAGTTCAACCAAACAAGGGAGGAGAGAGAAAAGAGAAAAAAAGAAGAATTTAATTTAGGATATAAATATTGGAGGCTTATTATAAAATCGAATGAGACCTAATATAAAATCGAATGAATGAGGAGAGAGAGAGAGAAGAGAAAAAATAAGTTATTTTAAGATATAAATAATTGAGGCCTAATATAAGAGTGGGGAGCGACAAAAAAGAAAAAGAAGTTATTTCACTATATAAAATTTTGGGACCTAATATAAATTTTTTATATTTTAAAATTTTGTGGTCTTCCTATTGGCCGGGACCTTAGGTATAAACCGCATTGTCATCCGATCTCATATGAATATGAAAAAAATTGGTGTCGTGATTTCAATGTACCTTATACTAACGCAAATTAAGAGAATTGAAACACTATGATGACCAGCAGTGTCTTTATAATTTTTATTTTATTTTCAAAAAAACCTAAACAATAATATAGAGATCACCATCTAAGGCTATAGACAATCTAGAGGTCCTAAGTCGTCTAAGGCTCAGGCCTGGATATGTGTGGCCTCTTGATTGTCTATTGCCTCAGATGGCGATTATTGTTTAATTTTTTTTTAAATAAAATAAAAATCATAAAGACTCTACTGCTCAACCTTGAAATCACGACACCAATTTTATTCATATTCATATGAGATCGGATGACAATGCAGCCGATACGGTAGACAGTATTAACTCCAATTTGTCCAGCCCAATATAATCTATCCATGGGCAGAATTGCCATTACAAAAACACTGACAATTACAACATAGGGGCACTTTGGTCATATGCACTCTCACAGTCCATCAGTCTCTCTCGGCCATGTACATCCCGCGTCTGATCCGCTTTGCTTCACTGAAACCCCTCTCCCTCTGTCTCTCTCTATCTCTCTCTCTCTGTCTACATAAAAGAAGAAATATGAATACACGTAAAAAACAGTGTTTAACCTAACCCCACATTCCCCACAGACAGCTAATCAAAAGATTCAACACAATCATCTACAATATATATATATACACAGATATTTTCTCTTACAATACACGACATGTTTGCTACTTTTGCATTATAACCACCACTACTCTCTCTCTCTCTGGTCCTTTTCGCTTCCCCTGTATTTAACCCCGACTCAACGGTTACTATCCTCGCCTTCAATGCTCACACCCATTAACGGCTAGTTTTATTGATGTTTAGATTAGACCTTCCACATCAAATCCCAAACCCACCAGCCCTAAAAAAAAAAATAAAGGTTAAGAGAAGAAGTTTAGAGAGAGAAAGTGTCTAGTGTGATTTTAGAGAGAGACCCAGATGGATTTCAGTTCTTTCCTGACGTCCCTCGGGACGTCCTGCATCATATTTCTGGTTCTGATGTTTCTCTTCACATGGCTGTCGAGGAAGCCCGGGAACAGATTCGTGTACTACCCGAATCGGATCCTCAAAGGGATGGATCCGTATGAGGGCGGATCGATCACCCGGAACCCGTTTGCTTGGATCCGAGAGGCGCTCTCGTCCACCGAACCAGACGTTATCAGTATGTCCGGTGTTGATGCTGCTGTCTACTTTGTCTTCTTGACTACTGGTTCGTCCCTGTTCTCATTCTCTCACTCATTCACACTTTTTCTGTATATTTGTTTGTGTATTATATTAAATTACAAAAATATTAATATTATGTGGGTATTTTTTAAAAATTTCTAGTTCTCTTATGGGTTATTTATTTATTTATTTAATTTCTTTAGTTCTTTTATGGGGTTATTTTTGTTTATGTGGATTTTGTATACTTAGATGTGTTGTGCTGCTTAAAATTGACACTTTTTTTTCCCTATTTTTTTGAAGTTCTGTTTATTTATTTAAATTTTTTATTGAAAAAAGGGAAGTGGGTTTTGTTGATATGGCTTGAACATTTTAATTACTTGTTATTTAATTAAATTTACTGAAATTTAATTTGGAATTTTCATGGTCCTTGACAATTACTGTCAAATTCAATGTTTCTTTTATGTGGGAGTTTTTGGAACATAAGTTTTATTGTTGGAGTCATAACGCTTGTTGTGTGGGGGGTGGGGGGTGGCTTAGGAGGTCACAGACTGTCAGTTAAAAAGCTAATGAATAACCTATAAATGCCATAGGAAGTGGATATTGCTTTAGTGCTGCTGAAATTGTCAGTCACTACTTCACTTATAAGCAAATCTCGGAGTCTATGAACATTACCGTATAGAACAAGGTTGGGATTTTAAGAAGGCAAAAAAAAAAACAAGAATTATTTTATAAAACAAGCATTAATCAAATTTTGTAGAAGTATCGACCTATATATAACAATTTAGGTCATGCAGAAATCACTCTACTTCTTTGATTAGTAGGAGGGATGGAAGGGATGTCAGGATAATGTCCGACCTTCCCTTTGTTTGGTTTGATGGAGGGAATGACACAGAAAAATACTATGATTTTACAATTAAAATACATTTAGATAAGTTTTTATGTCATTTTCAATTTTATTTTACAAATGTAATTCTATGTCTATCCCTTTCCGCCCACTTTTGGATGGAAGCAAAATGTTGGGCTCGAAGGATGCGGCATCCCTCCTTCTATCCATCCCCTGTTCCTCTTTCTCCTTCCCGTAGAAGCGTGTTTCATCCCTCCTTCCCTCCTACCAAGGTAGGCCAAGTGCTAAAGGCATTTCAAGTTACCAGAGTATATTTGTTTCACTTTTTTATATTTTGGTAAAATAAAGAAATAACAGTGAATACTTGAAGCCCGAAGTTTGACAAGATTTATTGACTCTACATTTGTTTGACATATTGCATTAGGAATATCCCCATTGAGAATTTTATTTTTGAGGCCATATGAGTACTTTTGAATGTTCTTTAGCCAAGCCTTGAAGAATACCTTCTCACAAGGCCTTTCATTCTGTTACAGCTGCTGAAAAGCTCCCAGTTTGATAAATTGTTCTTAGAGGAAGATATCATCATAATTAATAATTTATCACAACAGGACTTATCGGTGTTAACATATCATGTAGGACAGCAGCGGGTTCCATTCAAGCATCAATTATCACCTTTTGTTGCTCTGATTTTTCCCTATATGCAACAATAGCATTCTCTGAAGATGAAATTTGAATATACCTTGCCTGAGTTCTTTCAAAATGAAACAAAATTTCGAAGTAGAAAGCCCTCATTTATTCTTCTTTTATTTTTATTAGCTGTTCCAAATTAGAGAGATATTCTTCCCTTATCACTTTTCAAGCAACTTATGGACTTTCTCGTAGTTCTACTTGATATCCCTAAATTAATAATTTATCTGCTTATTTGGTTCCAAGTTGCACAGTTCTCTTTACTCTATCCTCAGACATCCATTATATATGAAATTTTATTTTCTTGAAATTATTACATGAATGAAACTAATCGAACCTCGAACTGGTGAGAGTTTACTAAGAGTCTAGTAGCCAATTGTAGTAGTTCGTCCCTGTTGTGGTTTCTCGTTATGATTTATACATCAATGTTGTGTATCTGGATTGACATCTTGTTCCAAAGTAATGGCACAAGGAACTGGAATTATCTCCTTGAGTTAAGGTGCAGTGCAAAAGTATTATTCCTATATTTCTTTATCATTGTTCTCTTATTATTCCAATAACCAAGTGAAGCATTTTTGACACTGAGAGTACTTTAATTATCCAAATTACCTGGAATCTGATACTACTTTCCATGCAAAAGCTAGCTTAAGAATGATGGAACATCGAGGAAGTATTCCCAGCCTAAAATAGCATGAAAACTAAGCATTTGGCTGGGCAGGAATTGTAATCACTGCCAGTCAGCTTGCATTATTCATTTTCTTTTTGAGCAAAATCTTTGTGAGGGCGCTCTCACAACTGATGCCCTCTTAGCCATTGGATCGAGAGGTGCACCCTCACAGCCTCTTGATCTAACAGCTGAGAGGGAGCACGCTGCTCGTATTTTTGGCCCTATGTGGCTGTGTATGTGATGTAATATCAGGATATGACATACTAAAACAAGTGAATGATGAAATTCTTTAAACAGAGATTAACTTTACCTGGTATGTACCTTACTACCCCCTCCCAAAAATGGAGAGAGAGAGAGAGAGAGAAATCATCCATGGTACTTGTAGAATATAGGTGATATTGATACCTTTGACAAATCACATATATTTAACGGTGAAACCATAAAGCAGTCTGTCATGTATGTGTGATGTATAAATGCATTTGTGTGTATATGTATATTTTGTATGTATGTATCTATGTATGTGTATGCACGTTTTTTTTTTACAGTTTATATGTATAATTTGTATCTCTGCATGTGTATGCACGTTTTGTTTATGCAATTTTTATTTATTTATTTTTTACAATGTATCTTCAGTTTCTGGACAATCCATTTCTAAGTAGCCTGAAGCTCATTTAGAGTGTTTCTGAAATGGACGCAATTACTTACGTGTCGTGGACGTGGGGCACATACTTGTGCAAAAGTTATAATAAAATCGTTCAAAATTTTAATTCTCTTAATTCTTGTTCCAGCATTGGGAATGTTGGTTTTAGCTGGCCTCGTGCTGTTACCATTACTTCTGCCAGTGTCCGCCACTGATAACAGCTCAAAGTTAAGTAATACCACAAGCAATGGGACTTTCAATGACCTTGACAAACTATCCATGGGACATGTTGAAGTAAGTTGCTTGACTATTTCACAGATCAGTGGTGCCTTTTCTTTAAAACTTAATAGTACAGTCTTGTCAACTATCAATACGGAATGTATATTCTCTGCTCAATTTCATGTTTCTTTTGTAATGCAATATTGTGATTATGTGTATTTTGTTTCTTATTTTATTGGTTATAGGCAAAGAGTTCAAGGTTATGGGCTTTCGTTATAGCAACCTATTGGGTTTCTTTTGTTGCTTATTGCCTATTGTGGAAGGCATACAAACACGTTTCTGATCTGAGAGCTACGGCGCTAATGTCTCCTGAAGTGCGAGCTGAGCAATTTGCTGTTCTTGTCAGAGACATCCCTCATCCCCCTGAAGGTCAAACTAGAAAGGAGCAGGTTGATTCTTATTTTCGAACACTCTACCCCGAGGCATTTTACAGGTCAATGGTGGTCACAAACAACAAAGAGGTATATATTAACATCATTTTCCTCCACATATGTCTCTGCCTTTTCTTTTTGTTTTTTTTTTTAGTACTTTGCAACTGTCATTTTGCACTTCATTATTTATTTTTTAGTGTCAAAATGCTTTTTTTTTTTTTTTTTTTCCTTTCGTGTGTGCTTAAAATGATTTTCACACCAAAACAGTGTTGCAGACAAATTTTGTGATCAAAATGGACATGATTATCTCATCACTCTTACATACGGACATGATTATAACATCACATGCCTTGCATTCATTTTCATAAATGTAGTATTTTTTTTTAATTTCGGTGATGCTATCAATTTAAATCAATTTGTGGCATCATATAATTTGATTCTCTCAGGTCAACAAGATATGGAAAGAGTTGGAGGGGTACAGGAAGAAGCTTGCACGTGCTGAAGCTATATATGCAAAGTCAAAAGCAGCAGGCAAACCTGAAGGAACAAGGCCCACAAACAAAATTGGCTTCCTTGGTCTCTTTGGTAAAAAAGTAGATTCCATAGAATACTACAATGAGAAGATTAATGAACTGATACCAAAATTAGAAGCTGAACAGAAGCTCACTCTTAGAGAAAAACAGCAAGCTTCAGCTATTGTCTTCTTCACCAGCAGGTCAACTGCAGCTGCTGCGTCTCAGAGTCTACATGCTCGAATGGTTGACACATGGACGGTCATGGATGCTCCTGAATCCCGCCAACTAATATGGACAAATCTTCATAAAAAGTTTTATGAGAGGGAAGTACGGCAATATGTTGTTTATGTTATTGTTTTTTTGACGATAGTTTTTTACATGATTCCAATCGGGTTGATTTCTGCACTCACAACGCTAGCAAATCTGAAGAAGCTTCTCCCATTTTTAAAGTCAGTCGTAGATCAGGATGCAATCAAGACTGTGTTAGAAGCATATCTTCCTCAGCTTGCACTTATTATATTTCTCGCCATGCTGCCAAAGTTTCTTTTGTTTCTATCAAAGGCTGAGGGCATTCCTTCCAAGAGTCATACAATAAGGGCTGCCTCAGGGAAATATTTTTATTTCTCGGTGCTGAATGTTTTCCTGGGAGTCTCAATTGGTGGAACCCTATTCGGTACCTTCAAGGACATTCAGAAGAATCCTAATGTTACCTATATTCTTAACTTACTAGCAACTACTCTTCCAGATAATGCAACTTTCTTCCTGACATACGTGGCCCTGAAGTAAGATGACAGTGTTTTTTTAATTTTGTCCCATATTTTTCTCATAATTATTCTTTGAGGACAAAGATTTTGCAGAAATTTTTTTAACCTAGAATTTTTTGCCACCATCAGTTGTTAGTGTTAAAAATATAATCTCCAATTTATTTTCAGTATGGTGCTTGCATATTAGTCCTTTTATACACTATAAAAACCTTCTCTTTATATAAATATGAGTGGTGTACTGATATAAAATAATAGTTTTTAATGGATATCAGGTTCTTTGTTGGGTATGGGCTTGAACTATCCCGAATAGTTCCTTTAGTCATGTATCATCTAAAGAGGAAGTATCTCTGCAAGACTGAAGCTGAGTTGAAAGAAGCTTGGGCTCCTGGAGATATTGGATATGAAACCAAGTTTCCTGGCGATATGCTTGTCTTAACAATTATTCTTTGCTATTCCGTAATAGCTCCTATAATTATTCCATTTGGTGTGCTGTACTTTGGCCTGGGATGGCTTGTTTGCCGGAATCAGGTAATGCCCAATATTTATGCACTTTTTGTAGTTCTAATTCTGATTTAAAGGTAATAATGTGAAAAAACGGACATTTGAGATACTTGACAAATGGTTTTTTTCTTTTTAAATTGGTGTCTGGTTGCTGTTCTAAAAGGCATATTATGAACATGTTTTTGATGCTGAAAGTAAAGTGTGTAATGACATAAGTTGTCTGTGCCATCATTGGCAAAAGGATTGTAAATTTTATCGTATGATTTAGTTAGTACTGCCCTTAAATGCATATTAACATGTTTCAGATTTTAGAAGAAAAATGAAGAATACTAAATTCTGTTCTTTTTGTTTTATTTTCGTACATTGAACACTAACACTACAACCTTTTCCCCTCCCCTCGATTCTGTTTTTATCTTCAACTTTTAGTTCCTATTAAGGTTTGGTATTGAAAATTGAATGCATTTTCAAATGAAAGTTAATTGGTTTGGTTGAGAAGTAGGTACATGCATATTCAAACACCAGTTATACTCTCTCTGTGCAATTTCCCATTCTCATGTTTGTTTGCTTGTCCCATTCCTTCCTCTACCATTAGGTACTCAAAGTATATGTTCCCTCGTATGAGAGCTATGGAAGGATGTGGCCCCATATGCATACACGCATCGTGGCTGCTTTGTTGATCTACCAAGCTACCTTGTGTGGCTACTTTGGGGTGAAAAAATTCATCTTCGTTCCAATTCTATTCCCGCTTCCAATACTCACCTTGTTATTTGCTGTTGTTTGTAGGAAGAAATTTTACCGTTTCTTCCAAACCACAGCACTTGAAGTCGCTTGCCGTGAACTGAAGGAAACTCCAAACATGGAACAGATCTTCAGATCTTACATTCCTCCAAGTCTGAGCTCTGAGAAGTCCGATGATGATCAGTTTGAAGACGCGTTATCTATTGTTTCTAGAACAGGATCATTTGCTTGATTTGATGTACATTTGTGGATTATGTGGACTCCTGATTTCTTTTTTCTGTAACGAGTGACCAGGTTTGATGGGTTGTTTGTAATATATATTACGCAACTTCTTAGTTGGTATTAGAATTTTCTTTCCTTGTTTGATTTGCAGCATGTGGTAAATGGCCCTTTCTGGTGGGAATTGTTCTTATTATGACTCTGCTTCAGTTCTGTTGTCTTCTTCAAGTTAAGCAATACAGGCAATGCATCATTTTAGAATACTTGTTTTAAGAAGAAGAATTCTTAGATATGTTCCACCATTTGTTTCTCTTCACTAGCTTTGTGTATGAACACAAAAAACAATTAAAAACTCTATTTAGAATTGCTACTCAATTTACCAGGAGGGATGCTTATGATACCTTCTTTTAAATCGGTGCCATTTGTACTTTTAAGGTGAGCTAGCAAATTCTTGTGGTTATATTAAGAAGATGGTATATTTACATTAACCATATTATTATAATAAATAAAAATAAAAAGTTAAACAAGAAGAAGATGGTTTGTTTTAGATTGAAAGCATTTTGAAAGTATTACACTATAATAAAATTGCCAAAAGATTGCCATGTTTGAAGGCATTCATTGGAAACCTTAAATCAATTTCAAATTCAATTTCAATTTCAGGAGTGCTGGTATATTAGAATTTGAGAAATAAAAGAGGAGAATAATAATGATGCTCCAAGAATAGTCCAAGACATCTTACTTAATTCTAGAAATAGGGTGCCATAATTTATTGATGTAGTTTTTTTGTGTAGAAAAACCGAAATACAGTATTGAAGTGTGTGCACACATAAATTTGGAAGTTAAAGAACGAAAGATGGAGTAAATATTAATTTTATTTATTTAATTTTTAAAAAATTAATGAGTAAAATTTTCTAGGTATTATTCTTTACAAAAGAAAAAAAAATTATTTACTTATTGGATCAACAAAATGTAAGAGATTCAAAGTATGGTATTTTAACACATACCTTGTTAAAAATCATTATGATGTGCTATATTTATGTAAAAAAAAATTTGAACTCAAACTCCACATTAATTTGATACAGTGGTAGGTGTTTAGTAATTGATGGGTATGATTGCATGTGTTTGCAACGTCACATCATTGTAGGAAGAACCATATGTGGGCCGTGTTTTAGTGATGTTTCTTTGTTGCCATGTCTGTCAGTTAAGCTGGAGACATTTAACAGATCCCAGCACAGACACTTGTAAGGTCTTCACACTTGCAAAGACTAAATTATAATCGTAGTTTGCAGTCGAGAACGCAATATAAAAGAATTGGGCCTGTATCAATCAAGATTCGTAATTGTGGTATCGGTTAAAGTATCGATCGCAATCATAATATAGATACTAACGAAATACTACAGTGAAAAGAATAATGATTTCTAAGCAGAAGCCTTCAGTTGAAGACTGGCCCATTATCATGATTATTTTAAGAAATGGTCTTTATGTTCTACTACATTCTAGTACAATGTTCTTTGTCCAATTATTTGGCATACAATGATTTGGCAAGAGCTCAAGCTTATCTTAGTCATGGAGAAGACATTGTTTCTGATTCATGAATTGACTAGTTATGGAGAAGACATTGTTTCTGCAATGAGCGGTGAAAAATGTCCACATACATCACATTATAATAAATCCAGACAATTTCATCGAGCTCTCAATCTTTGCTGAGAGCGAATTCTTTCCCAATTCATTAATTCAATCTTGTTACTTTATGAATTTAATTTACCAATTTTTGAATTTGTAACAATTTCTTATTTATTGTATTATGAATAATTATATGTGAAATTATTTTGGCAACCAGTCTTCATCAATGAGGCCGAGACATTGTTTTGACAGTAGTGCTGCAAGCTTGCAACACCAACGATGCTCAGGGATGATCACCATACAAGCTGCCAAAATGACCCAACCCAAAAGAAAATTAGTTTGGCGAAGACCCACACAAAGTGGCCATGTATCAGATATTAAACTCATTACAATATATTTATTGTTTAAAAAAGGTAAATGAAAAAAAAAAAAAAAATTGTTATAAGAAAGGTATAATTATTTAATCTGTTAAGTATATATTTTTTAATAATTTATTTTATTTTATTTCGTTTATTTTTCTTTAAGAAATATTATCAAAGTCATACTTAGTCACAAGTGCTTTCATATTTATTTATAGAATGATAAATTTTTATACATATATGTGTGGTTCTTGCTTTCATTGTAAATCGGAAAAATAAAAAATCTCAAAGACAAAACCCACTTAATCGACTTGGAAAGTAGAAACATGATATGATATGAACTCAAAGCAACTCTCCTTCAACACCTTCTTTCCACATTCTCACTTCACATTTTCTACATCAACCTCCGTTCAGGAGTACTCGAAACCCCATATTCTCAAGAAATGCATTGCTCTCTTGCTAACCTGCGCCTCCTCCAAATTCAAACTTAAGCAGATCCATGCATTCTCTGTTAGACATGGTGTTCCTCTCTCCAGCCCAGACATGGGCAAACACCTCATCTTCATCATTGTGTCCCTTTCAGGACCCATGTCCTATGCTCACCAAATCTTTTCCCAAATCCAAGACCCTAATATATTCACTTGGAACACCATGATTAGGGGTTATGCTGAGAGTGAAAGCCCAAGGCCAGCCATCGACATTTACAAGAAAATGCATGTATCTTCTATTGAGCCTGACACACACACATACCCTTTTCTTCTGAAAGCCATTGCCAAGTTGTTGGCTGTTCGGGAGGGTGAGAAAGTACATTCAATTGCTATAAGAAATGGGTATGAGTCACTAGTCTTTGTTCAGAACACCTTGGTTCATATGTATGCTGCATGTGGGCAAGCTGAAAGTGCACACAAGTTGTTTGAGTTAATGCCTGAAAAGAATCTTGTGACTTGGAATTCTGTAATTAATGGGTTTGCACTCAATGGAAGGCCTAATGAGGCATTGACCCTTTATAGGGAAATGGGTTTGGAGGATGTTGAACCAGATGGGTTTACCATGGTTAGTTTGCTCTCTGCTTGTGTTGAGCTTGGGGCTTTGGCATTGGGTAGGAGGGCCCATGTGTACATGTTGAAGGTTGGATTGAGTGAAAATTTGCATGCTGCAAATGCCCTTTTGGATTTCTATGCAAAGTGTGGGAGCATTAGGGAGGCACAAAAGGTTTTTGATGAGATGGGGGAAAAGAGTGTGGTGTCTTGGACTTCTTTGATTGTTGGGTTGGCTGTTAATGGATTTGGTAACGAAGCGCTTAAGCTTTTCAAGCGGATGGAGAAACTGGGATTGGTGCCTACTGAGATCACTTTTGTTGGGGTATTGTATGCTTGTAGTCATTGCGGCATGGTGGATGAAGGGTTTGCTTACTTTAAGAGGATGAAAGAGGAATTTGGCATTGTGCCCAAGATAGAACATTATGGTTGCATGGTGGATTTGTTGGGTAGGGCAGGTTTAGTGAAGAAGGCATTTGAATTTGTTCAAAGCATGCCATTACGGCCTAATGCTGTCGTTTGGAGGACCTTATTAGGAGCATGCACTATACATGGGCATTTGGCTTTAGGGGAGGTTGCAAGAGCTCAACTTCTACAATTAGAGCCCAAACATAGTGGGGATTACGTGCTCCTTTCCAACCTCTATGCGTCAGAGCAGCGTTGGTCGGAGGTGCAAAAGGTGAGGAGGACAATGTTGAGGGAAGGTGTGAAGAAAACTCCAGGGTATAGCCTTGTTGAGTTGGGCAACTGTGTCCATGAATTTGTAATGGGAGATAGATCTCATTTCCAAAGTGAGGAAATATATGCAATGCTAGCGGAGATGACAAAGTTGTTGAAATTGGAAGGGTACATGCCTCATACATCTAATGTTCTTGCGGACATAGAGGAAGAGGAGAAGGAGACTGCTTTGTCTTATCATAGTGAGAAGATTGCAATTGCATTCATGCTCATTAATACGCCACCAGGGACCCCAATTCGAGTTGTGAAAAACTTGAGGGTGTGTGCAGATTGCCACTTCGCAATAAAACTCATATCGAAAGTTTTTGTTAGAGAGATTGTTGTGAGGGATCGAAGTCGATTTCATCATTTTAAAGAAGGATCTTGTTCCTGTAGGGATTATTGGTAAAGTTTCAGATGGTTGCTAATTATGAATTAATTTATGTATTTTGCTATTTTCATTTGTACCAAGAACAGGGTGGTTACTTTCTCAAAAATAAAAAATAAAAAATAAAAAAATCTTACTCTATCAATTTATAGCATTCATCTCACTTCTGTTGTGTTGTTCACTCACAGATGCAAAGTGGTAACAGAAGTTTGGATATAGTTTTTGGTTTGATGGAACTAAGTGAATAATCGATTGTGTTTTTTAACTTGATATATTGAATTCCAGGAAACTGTTTCTGAATTTGAGATGCTATTTGGATAAACACTATTGAAGAATTGAGGTTCCAATTTTACCCATATCATTGCATTAATACAAGAGAATCTGAGGATGCTGAAGAACTTTCAAGTTTTTCTAATCATGATAATGTGATGGAGTTAAATATTTGCAATTTATTATTTCCCAGAGTCCTAAAACATTATATGAATCTTTTCTGCTCTTTAAATTTATTATTTCTCGGAGTCCTGAAACTTCTTCATATGATATTGTTTCTGCTCTGTTTTTTTTTTCCTATTGGTGTTACAGGAATTCAGGCTTGCATGAAAGCCATGGAACCTGTTGATGAGGAGCAATATACAACTGGTGTTTGCATTCATGGGATCAGGTATGGATCTCAACTCAGTAGACTAATACCTCTAAACAAGCTCATTTATTTCCCCATCTTGAATTTTCGTAAAAGATTCAAGCACTTTTTAATTGAATTGTATACTTCTTTAGAAGGTATATTGAAAGCAAGTTAGGGAGAGGTACTTCATTATAACTTTTAACAATACTTTTGTCTTAATCTTCGGGAATGGAAGCCTACCATCACCTTGACTTATGGCTCCTCTGTAATCTCCATCATGCAAGTCTGCATAATTGATAATTTATTCTTTGCCTCTATTGTTTGCTTGAATCTAGGGATATCAATTTTTACCGCCCCGCCGGGGCCCAGCCTCGTTCCGCCCCGTTAATAATGGATATAAGAACACTTTTTATACCGTTGGGGCGGGCATGGATACAAATTTTGTACCCGTCGCGGGTCACGGGGTGGGTAAGGGTTCAATATACATATCTTAGGGGCCCGGCCCCGCCCCACTAAGCATCCGTCGCGGGTCACGGGGTGGGTAAGGGTTCAATATACATATCTTAGGGGCCCGGCCCCGCCCCACTAAGCATATAACTATATTTAATATATATATATATCATAATAATAATAATATTAATAACTTATTTTAGCGGCTTACCTAGTTACGCATTTCTTACAATCCTGATTTGGGATGTAAACTTGATATTAAATTTGCTTTTGCTTTGGTTATGGTGGAAGTTGGAACTTAGAACTTCTTGTAATTTGGTTGTATTAAACTTTTATTTTTGTTTATTATGTTCTCTGAATTATGTTATGTGCATGTTATTTTTTATTTTTGTTGGGATACATAATTTTATTTATGTTGTGCCATTCCCAGGCTTTCCACATTTAAATAGCAGGAGCTTAAGTTCCAAAAAGTGGGAGAAAAAAATTTGTTAGCGGGGCGGGCAAGGGGGCATAGTATTTCCCAACGGGGCGGGGCTGGACATGAAAATCCAACCCGTCACAGGTCTCGGGGTGGACATAGACTTGACAAAAATTAAAAGGGGCGAGGCGGGATTTAGGAAAACCCGCTCCAAACCCGCCCCGTTGCCATCCCTACTTGAATCAGGTTGTGTTGTGTTAAATCCTAGATTCAGGTATCCAATTCTCTCTCTATTTCGTTCATTAAATTGATTTTCATCATTTTATGTACTCATGATATGTTTTAGAGTTCTCATTGATTATGATATTAAAAAAAAAAAAAAAAAAAAAAAAAAAAAAAAAAAAAAAAAAAAAAATCATTACTTTGTTTTAGAAGTAATATTTAAACACATTAAAATTATCTAAACACAATATTTTGAAGACTCGGTAGAAGAGCCTGCATGGTTGGCCATGAAATACCCCCAGACCACACTTGCTTAATTCTAAAGCCTTACCCACGATCTTTCTCCAAACTATTGGCTGCTTTGGCCATTGCACTACCGATCCTCCTGTGATTATGCCTCCTATTAAGGAACGAGCTCCCGGACCTACGAAGCCTAAACCCAAACGATTCCGATCCAATTACCAGAGGTCATTCCTAATCGACCACTGCTTTGAAATCATCGTGTGTGTGTGTGTATATATATATATTCCCATTACTTTGTTCCATATTTGATATTTAAAGTTTAGTTCGAAATTTCCATTTTTAACAGAAGTCAGTTGCATATTTCTTCCTATTTTAATATTTTAACACACTCAACTCCTCTTTTCAATTCCTTATATCCAAAACACTTAATTCTTGACTCATAATTCAACACACTCAATTTTTTTTTTTTTTTCCAAGAAAAATATTATTACCAAAACACCACAATTACAAAGCAGGGAGTGGCAAAACCCTCAGGAAAACCTATATACACCCATTCTCAAAAATCAACAAGCTAAAGTAAACACTCACGGGAACCTGGGCAAGGTGGGGGATCTTTTATTGTCAGGAGGAAGAGCATTTCAGCACTCATGGGGACCTGGGCAAAGAGGTGGATCTTTTTTGCGAGGATGAGCATTTGGTACGCCCTTTGGCTCAGGAAGAAGAGGTTTAAAAGGAACCATTTCAGCTTGCTTTATTTTCTCGTCCGTGAATCCGTTTTGTCCATACACATGAAGAAATAAGAGAGGAAGAGCAAACAGAAGAAAGATGACCCTGGAGAAGACTGCCATGAAGATTAATCCTTTCTTAGAGGTTCTTGTCAAAACCACCCTCTTTTTTTTTTCCCTCCCTCTTTTATCTCTATTTATACTTGCAATAAGGCGCTTACTGGGTCGGATAACAATGCCAAAATAAAGAAAATACTCCTAAATTAATGTAAGTTGTCCAAAATACATGCCTGAATAATTGCATGTACATAGGATTGTGCATGGTTGAGTGCTTCCAGGGACTGGAAACAATTTAATTTCCATGTAGGTGAAGGATTATTACAGCATTGTTAATGAGAGGCTAGCCAATTCGTTCAGCTTATCATTTTCCTTTGTAAATAGAAATAAATATCGAAAACAAAACCGAATGAAATTTCAGTTGCTTGATGAATAAATGTGAGATTTATGTGGGTCTCATAATGCATCAAATAGCTAAATATGTTTTTGTCTCTTTTTTGTTGCTTCTCTGAACATTTATATGAATAACGACTAGAAGAGTGTTGATATCCAGAACGACTAGTTTGAACGAAATGGTGAGTTGAAAGCTTTCCATCGTGGTTTGCTGATTTGGTTCGCAACAATTTTTTACCTTCTGATACCGAGACTCACTCTGTACTTGTGGGTCTCAAAATGTTAGGATAATGGTGCCTTAAATTTTATTATAATTAAGTATTTATTTTAGAATCGTATTTTATGGTGTAATTTTATGAAAACTCTTGGCCTCGAGGGAGTTGGGTTTGGGCTCATGATTTACCGCTCTCGAGAACATAGGCCCATTTATGGCTTTCAAGAACGTAAGCCCATATTTGTCCATGGCCATAGAATTGATGATTGGTCTCCTTTGTGGATCCGTTCATATCCATCGTAAACAATAGTTACATCATTTTCCTTTCAAGAATCTTTAATGGGAACCATCAACCTTTCTATGTTTGTTCTTTCTTTGTGAAAATGAGTTTTCCTCAACAAGTTGCAACCTGGAAGAATATAGCCACTGATATTATTATTAGCGGCATAAGTGTAAGAGCCAATAGGAACTCGGAAGGTGAATAGGCAAACCAGCTGACGGCCTGTTTCCTAATAGGAATAATTCTTGATTTGTCCTGTCAAATCTTAAAATTAAGAATTAAAAGTAAAAATCGTATTTAATAAAATACTTTCACTTTTTTATATAAAAAAAATACTTTCTAATTTTATAAAGAAAAGAAAGAGTGATAGATCTTCCCTTTCCCTATTTTCTACACTATTGATAGAAGTCACTTTTTCTGCTGTAGTACTGTGTGTGTGTGTATATATATATATATTCTAACTAATATCACCCACCTCCTCCTCCCCACCATGGTCATTGCCGCTGCCACCTCCTCGCCGACAACCTCCACCATCATCGCCTCTCTCTCCTCTGTCTCTCTCTCTTTCTCTCTCTACAAACACTCCTGATAAAAAGAAATAAGTTAAAAGGAATTGATTAAGAGAGAGTAAGTCACAAATGACCAGAATCTTGAACTTGCAAGCTCCACAGAATTTTGGCGTAGAGCACGACGGGGCCGACATGGGATTCGCGGAGAGGGGTGATGATGAGTGAGGGTTTCGCGGTGGTGGAGGTGTTGAAACGGCGGTTTTTTATGTAAGATTGAAGGGCTGTAGAGAGTGTTGGCAGAAATTGGGTCTGATGGTGAGTTCTTGTAGAGGCATTGACGGAAACTGTCGTAGATTGAATCTGATAAAGCATAATAAAAGAATCGGAGAGAAAAGAGAAGAAGAAATGAAGAGAGAGAAGGGTTCTTCATTGTTTGGTGTTTGGTTTTGGGTTTGTGAAACAATTGGTGGTGTGTATTAAATACAATTGGTGATGTTGGTGGTGATGCCCTTCGATTTCACAGAAGAAATGATCTGGGTCTTGCGAAGCTGATTTCAGTAGCTTCCCATGGAGCTATATATATAATACACACAGATAGTATATAATTTAGAAAACAAAATCAAAATTATAATTATTGAATTTACTTTTTAATTTTTCGATTTGAAAATATTGAAAGCATTACAAATTAATAAACATAATTTTACTTTATATTTCAACTTCAAAAATAAAAATTATGATTTTATTTTTGAAAAAAGTAAAAATATGAAAGTAAAAACTTTATTAAACGGGCCAAACAATTCATTCCAAGCTCCAAGATTAAATGTTTTCTCAATTGCCAAAATACACTACAAGAATTTATCAATTTGCAGGCAGTTTTTTTTCCTGCAGTTTTGAAATTGCCGGAAGTGGCAACCATTCCCGGTAGTTTTTGAAAACTGCCGGGATTCCTTTCCGGTAAAAAAATGCCAGCAAATAATATAACGTATAAATGGCTCGCCTCCCGCGCTTACATTTGCACTTGATGAAGAGCCAATTTTGCTTAACTTTGTGGAAGGGTGGCAAAGAGACATGTTTTGGCATCTTTCTCTTCATCCTTGTTTCAGCTTTATCAATTAACCTTTGCATTTCAACTATTTGATCATGAGTCACTTTTTTACATGCTTGAACACCATGACCCGAGAGTTTTTACGCTTTCACCCTATGGTAGTAACGGACCCATACATGAACTCAAGTGTTTGATTATCATTTTGATGGCTTGAAATATGAATTCAAAAGTAAAGAAACTATTTAATCAAAAGCAAGTCAAGTGTTTTTATACTTCTTTCAAGTTTCTTAACTTGGACAAAAACAAAATCAATCTCGGCATGATCTATTATGAAATTTGCAGCCCCTGGCCCTGCCTCCAAGGAAAACCATAAGAAGTTTATATGATTTGCTTGAAATGGAACTGAACACTTCCCAGCAAATACTAACAAATTCAAGAGCTGCTACCACTGCGGGTTCCTTGCAAGGTGAAAAGGCAAACCGGCCGAGTTTGCAATTTCACTGTGCAATTCATCCCGAGCTCCAAGATTAAATGTTTTCTCAATCGCCAAACTACACTGCAAATTTATCAATTTGCTGGCAGTTTTTTCCATTCCCCGTAGTTTTTGAAAATTGCTGGGTATGCTTTCCGGTAGAAAAAAACTGCCAGCAAATAATATCAGTCTTGGAGTGCTAGTCTTCCTCTTTCTTGGTTCAAAAGCATCATGCATAAATGGCCCACCTCCCATGCTTACAACCCCTTAATGTTCATTTAAACACTTGAAAATCAAAATTATAAGTATTGTAATTCATTAAATATTACAATTATGTCTACGGTTAAAATTAATATCTATCAACCATTATGGTTGGGTCACTTTGGTAGCTACCAACCTTTACATAATATAAATATTAAATTAGTTAGTGACTAATTCATCATTAATTATGTTTACTACTAAAATTAATATTCATTAATCATCTTGGTTAGGCCACTTTAACAACTATCAACTCTCACATAATATGAATATTAAATTATTTAGTGAAATATTTATCATTAAGTTATGTTTACTAGTAAAATTAATATTCATCGACCATTATGGTTAGGCCACTTTGGTAGCTACTAACCCACACATAATATGAATATTAAATTAGTTAGTAACTGATTAATCATTAATTTACCCATTTAACATTTTACATATATTCTCATACTGATCTATTCAAGTTTAGGTAAGTTCAATCCCAGAAACTTAATAGTCCTAAAATTCAAAGAAAATATTCTTTTATAATAAAATATACATAATCAAACGTATTATTTTATTTTCGAACTCAGAGATCATAATTGAATCAATCTAAAAATTGATTTTCCATCATGTAAGTATGTATGAGTACAAAACAATAATTTATTTGCATGTCCACTAAAGTTAAATTAAATTTCTTAATTCACACATTATTCTAGAAATTTAAATTTTTTAATAAATAAAATAAATACACTTATTTTGTGTAATCAATAATTTATTAAATTTTTAAATAATTAATAAAATATAATCTGTATAATCATCCAACAGTAATTATTATACAGATTAGCTTCATTACAAGAGTAACAAACAGAACCACACTTATCAATTCATATCATGTACGGAAATAAAAAAACAAACACATGAATCTAATGTCTTTGTTTTATTGTACATATGTATGTATAAATATATCATTAATTAACTTTAACCAATTTAACCATGTTTGAAAATCGAGGCACTGATGCTAATTTTTGGGCTCAATACTTTACAGTATTGTGTTTCAGTCTTTTTCGGCTGAGTTGGCTTTGGTGGCTGAGGCTGTGTGTTTTCGCCTTGCTATTTTTTGGGCTCAACTATTTTAGCTAATTCACATGTGCTTTGAGTCTGATGCTAAAATGCTTGTCGAAGCTGTGGTAGGTGTGGCTGATGCAAAGATGGCTGTGGCGTCGTTGGTTTTTGATATTGTTGCTGCGTTGAAGTTTTTTCCAATGGCTACAGTGACTCATATTCGGCGTACTGCAAATGGTGTGGCTCATGCTCTTGCAGCTTTGTCGTGTGGGCACTTGCATTCTGATTGTCTTCTTTCTCCTGTTCCTTCTCATATTAATGAGTTGGCTTTGAGGAATTTGTCTTTGTCCTCCATGTAATGATTCTAGTTGTTGGTTGTTTTGTTGTCTTTGCTAGGGAAAAAAAAAAAAAAAAAATCGAGGCACCGATCAAAATTAAAATTTTTTTTCAATAATTTACATAAAAGATGTAAAAGCATATCAATCAATCAATGGTGGACAAAACTTTATTAACAGAATCAACTACATCAGCACATTCGGATACATACATATATATTATACAATCAAAAAAATTTATTTTTATTTATGCAACTTTAGAGGAAAATTACGAGTTCCTAAACCTTAAACTCTAATATCACATGTAATCTTTAATAATTTGTGTGAAACATTAATTACAAATAACACATGAATCTCAAATCTTAGAATTTCATTATTTTTACATGTCTATAATGCATAAATAAATAATTAAATATAATACTTCGATTTGTAATTGCAAATGTTATACAGATCAAATCAAACATCGAGATCATTTCTGCTTCGTGCTAACCTGCAAGTCCAAATAATAGCCAAAGCGTGGAAATTGATTTTTCTCTCTTAGCCTTTTGTACACAAAAAAAATTATACGTATTGTTTCATCATTGTACATAATAGATGGGATATATGCACTTTTATAAAGGTAGAAATAGAACCGATTTTTCTTTAGTAACCTTAATATTCACTTTTGATCAAAATAAGAAATAAATATAAAAATACTTTTCCAATAGTTAATTATCAAAAATATAATTTATAAATTGATCAAATAATATAACATTAATTTAATTTCTATTTACTTAATTATTAATTAATAAAATATATAGCATGTTGAAATCATAAGAATTACACAATTAATAAATAATTTTACAGATACACCAACAAAGTGCAACTCCATCCGCAGCCATTTAATGTGGCTTCTGGGGTTGGTGAGATTTGTGGCTTGCAAATAAAGGTCAGCACATGGAACCGCAACAACTTATATAAATAGGGTGGGTGAGATTTGTGGCTTGCTTGCAAATCGGCACGTGCAAAAGGAATTACAGTTATTATTTGGTGTCCACACAACTTATTAAGTAAGGCATTTGAAATGAAATTGACGGGTGAAACAACTGCAGAAGAAAAGTTGTTATTTGGTGTCCAGACCCCATTAAAAGCAGGTGTGTGTCCCAATTGTGTATTTATTATTATAAATAGTCTGTAAAGAAGAGAGATTATTTGGTGTCCGGACCCCCATTAAAAGCACCTGTGTTGTCTCAGATAAAATTGAATCCAGGGACCTCAGGTAGGGGTGTACAGTACACTCTATTTAAACTCACCAATTACATCTTCAATTCCAAAGAATATAATCACATCAACTTTCAATTCTCCCAAATGCTATCATTCCGTACTTGTGCTTAGCCTAAAAATCACAAATTAATTATTCACTAGCACCATGAACCCTCTAGACCCTCAGGAATTCAGGAGACAAGGCCACATTATCATAGATTTCCTAGCCGATTACTATCAAAACATCCAAAATTACCCTGTCCGAAGCCAAGTAGAACCAGGTTATCTCCGAAAACTTTTGCCCAACTCAGCTCCAGATCACCCAGAAACTATAGAAACAATCCTCCAAGATGTGGAACACCACATCATTCCTGGCCTTACACATTGGCAAAGTCCGTACTACTTTGCTTACTTCCCATCTAGTGGGAGCATTGCTGGGTTTCTAGGTGAAATGCTTAGCACCGGATTCAATGTGGTGGGGTTCAATTGGATGTCATCGCCAGCTGCAACCGAGCTCGAGAGCATAACCATGGATTGGCTTGGCAAAATGCTAAACCTTCCCGAGTCTTTCCTTTTCTATGGTGGTGGCGGTGGTGTCCTACAAGGGACAACTTGTGAGGCCATGTTGTGCATGCTCACCGCGGCCAGAGATCAAATTTTATCCGGTGATGATGCGAGAGAAAATTTAGGAAAGCTGGTTATTTATGAATCAGATCAAACCCACTGTGCATTCAAAAAAGCAGCCAGAATTGCCGGAATCAGCCCTAGGAATTTCCGGTCCATCCCTACAACAAAAGCTACTCAATTTGGGCTATCTCCCGAGACACTCAGGTCCACAATTGTCTCAGATATTGAAGCTGGACTAACACCACTATTTCTATGTGTCACTATTGGGACTACTTCATCAACTGCAGTTGATCCATTGGGACCATTATGTGATGTTGCTAAAGAATTCGGCATTTGGGTTCACGTCGACGCTGCTTATGCCGGAAGTGTGTGTATCTGCCCGGAGTATAGGCACCACCTTAATGGCATTGAGGGTGCAAACTCATTTAGCTTTAACGCCCACAAGTGGTTCCTCACTACTTTAGATTGTTGCTGCCTTTGGGTTAAGGACCCAAGTGCCCTAACCAATGCTCTCTCAACAAATCCTGAGTACCTGAGGAACCAAGCCACAGAATCGAAGCAAGTGGTGGACTATAAAGACTGGCAAATAACATTGAGCCGGCGGTTCCGAGCATTGAAGCTTTGGCTTGTTCTAAGAAGCTATGGCATAGAAAAACTCAGAAACTTTCTAAGAGACCATTTAGAAATGGCCAAGCATTTTGAAGCGCTTGTTGGGATGGACAACAGGTTTGAGATTGTGGTGCCTAGAAATTTTGCTGTGGTGTGTTTTAGGGTTTCACCATCAGCAATATTGGGTAAGCTGAACCACAATGACGATGAAGTGAACGGTTTCAATTCAGAGTTATTGGAGTCCATCAATAAGACTGGTCGGATCTACATGACTCATGCAGTTGTAGGAGGAGTCTTTGTGATTAGGTTTGCAGTTGGTGCAACCCTTACCAAAAAGCAACACGTGGATACAACTTGGAAGTTGGTGCAGGAACATGCAAATGCCATGCATGATAAGTACGTCCTAGATCATGGATCCTCTGCTGCAGTGAACAGCGAGTATCATTCACACTGTATTGCATTGAACGGTGAATAATCCTAGCGGATCCTACTATTACAGCACCATACTGTAACAACGTACAGAGGATTCCACCTCGTACTTCCTAGGGATTTCAAAAATAAGATTGCATGCATGCAGGTTATAATGTTACAATGAAGAAGTGTTTTTTTGTTTGTGTGTGTATGTGTGAGATTGTGAGTCGATTATGTTATTGAGAAAAATAATGATTTTTCATCTTTAGAAAAAATAATAGTAATATGGGTTGCATACATTCATGTTTCAAGTTCAATTCCCTTTAGGTGCGAGCAATATTTTGGGGCCACGATCGCGGATATAGTCTGAATTTTATCCGATCCGTGTGAGAGGTTGCCTTATACGAGTGTAGTGAATTAATCAAGACAAAAATAGTAATAATAATAATTTCTCGGCCGTAGCCATCAATTGAAGACTGGGGCCCAATTATCATGGTCATATGAAGAAATGGTCTTTATGTTCTACTACATTCTAGGACAATGTTCTTTGTAAGAACTCAAGCTTATCTGATGATATTTGGAGGCCCATAATTATCAGAAGTGATTTCCAACCGTCTCGGACGTTTCCAAGTTTCAATAATTATCAAAAGTGATTTCTAACCGTCTCGGACTTTTCCAAGTTTGAAGTTTTTAAACATCATTGCTGGAAATAGGGTATACAATGTCAATGCAGCTGGGCTCATTGTGACTTGTGTCAATTTCGGCTTTATGATGCCATTCTGTTCTGTCTCGTGGATTAGTTGTTTACAGATTTGTGGGGAAATATCTATTTTTCACCCCCTAAGTGCGAATTGGCGCTGAGAGAGAATTTTTTTTTAATTTATTAATTTAATTTTTTACTTCCCGAATTCGCAATGATTTCTTGTTATTATATTATATATGGATAATTACACATAACATTTTACATTTATTATATTATATCTTGACAATTAGATGTGACATTTTTTAGATATTATTGTATATATTTGTGTTCACCATTTGTTTCTCTTCACTAGCTTTGTGTATGAACCAAAACAATTAAACACTCTATTTAGAATTGCTACTCAATTTACCAGGAGGGATATATGCTGATGATACCTTCTTTTAAATCGGTGCCATTTATTATACACCCACGAGTGACCCAATTATCTGTGGGTCTCACTCCAAGGCATTCAAATGGTATTGGGTTAATTGCTTGACCTCCTTAACACATCGGTTTAAAAATCATTATGATGTGCTAAATTATGTAAAAAAAGTTGAACTCAAACTAGACATTAATTTGATACAGTAGGTATTTAGTAATTAATGAGTTTGATTGCATGTGTTTGCAAAGTCATGTCATCGTACAAGGTACTATATGTGGGCTGTGTTTTAGTGAAGTTTCTTGTTGCCATGTCTGTCAGTTGAGCTGGAGACATTCAACAGGTCCCAGCACAGATACTTGTAGGTCTTTACACTTACAAAGACTAAATTATAACTAAAGTTTGCAGTCGCAATACGAACGCAATATAAAAGAATTGGGCCTATATCAATCAAAGTTTGTAATTGTGGTATTGGTGGTTAAAGTATTGATCGCAGTTGCAATGTAACGGATTCGAATCCATAGCGGCCTTAAGTAACAGAATACTACAATGAGAAGAATAATGATTTCTCAGCAGAAGCCTTCAATTGAAGACTATGAGCCATTATCATGGTTATTTTAAGAAATGGTCTTTGTGTTCTACTACATTCAAGTACAATGTTCTTTGTCTAAATATTTGGCAAATAATGATTTGGTAAGAGCTGAAGCTTATCTTAATTATGGAGAATACCAATTTCTGATTTAGAATTGGCTAGTTATGGAGAAGACATTGTTGTTGTGAAATTTATATGTACCACTCGCAAGTGCACGAATATTTGCAGATAGGGTTATTTGTAAGGGTGTCGTATCCAAGGGACTTGTGTAAATTAAGTTTGTTAACAGATTTCTTAAATTCCAAATTAACTTGAAAGTAGGATAATCGAGTTGTGATGATTAGTTCTAAATTTACTGAGTAGAAAAATAAAATAAACTAAAGAACAATGATTAAATATGATGTAGAAAATAGAGTGAGAACTAGAGGAATGACTTCACCACTAACGTCGCACCACCAGTTAATTGCATCAATTTGTTGAAGATATATTGTATAACATGCATAGGGAATTAATCATGACTACAAGTACATATTAATTCAGTTAGAAAATAATATAATTTAAAACTAAGCATGGGTTATTTTCGATTGATATAAACCATCTACCTTACTACTTTACTCTAGGGTGCAGTATGGTCTATCTTTTCTAGGCATAATCCATCAAATCTCTAACATTATATTTAGAGAAATACCATCGTGTAATCATCTCATTTACAACTATAAGAAGTGAATGAGTTGTATTCAATTACAAGATTAAAATATATAAGACAAGATAAAAAAATATTTGTGATTGAATTAAAACTCTAAAACCGATTCCTATTTAAAAGTCAATTAAAAATCTTATAGATTACAAAATCATGCACGATAAAAGTTGTTTTCCAATAAATAAATACAATCAAACCAGTATGCTAAGTTAGGGCTACATCACAACCCTAGCAAAACGTTTAACCATGCATGACTGGAGTGGAATTCTTTATGGTTGAGGAAGACATCTTTACCGCCATGGATCGATCTTTCTTTCTTCTGAGAATGCTTATCCTCTGATCTCAGCCTCAAGCTCCTCTATATGATGATTCAATGTTATAGAGGACTCCCATTAAATAATAAAAGATCAGTCCTAAAGTTCACTTTTTCATATAGAAGACATACATAGAAATTCTGCAAAATAAGGACTCCAAAATCCGTACAAACTTCCAGCCCAATTTTGACAAGGTAAATAGCTATTTTATAGAATCTTGGTAAAATATAAAATTGTAGCTCTTCGAATTTTCTTTTAATCTGCGCCAGAATTTAGCTATTTTGATACTCGAGGAGAGAGATAAAACCAGATTACCAAAACTGATTCAAGTTACCAACTTAGGCGAAAGTTTCCTTTTTGGAGAAGGATTTTTCATTTTCTTCTTCTTTCCATTCTCATCAACTTGTGGCTTCTTTTGGACTATTTTCTAAGTATAACTAGATTTGGATCTTCAACATTGCTCAGTCCCACGAAATGTCATCTTTTAAATCTCAGAATCACTGGTTTTGACTGATTTTACAATTAAAGTCCTGAAATAAATAAAACAATTTAAAATCACAAATAAATTGTTATTAAGAAAATAAAACATGCAAGTAAAATGGTTAAAATGTATAACATTCAGCGCCTAACAATTGTTACTACAATGTCAACGGTGAATTAGTTCTCAACAGATTAGGGGGGGAAATGTCCACATACATCACATTATAATAAATTCAGACAATCTCATCGAGCTCTCAATCTTTGCTAAGAGCGAATTCTTTCCCAATTCAATTATTCAATTTTGTTACTCTACGAATTCTATTTGTCAATCTCTGAATATGAATAATTTTGATTCCTTTTGTTTCGACGAAAAATATTTTTCTTGAAAAAGATTTTTCTTTTTCAAGTAAAATGTTTCTTTATTTTTGCTTTTTCGGTATTAGACAAAGGTGTAGGTTGAGATTGAGTTAATCGTACAGAATATAAAAAATAACTTACCAAAAATTTATAAATAAATTATTTTTGTTATATTTTAATATATTTTTTATTAGTATATATTTTACGATAATCAAGCACAAGAAAAATAAAAAAATTTTGAAAAATGATTAGGTTTGCAGTTGGTGCAATCCTTACCAAATATCAACATGTGGATACAACTTGGAAGTTGGTGTAGGAACATGCAAATGCCACGCATGATAAGTACGACCTAGATCATATGGATCCTCTGCTGCAGTGGACAGCGAGGATCATTCACACAGTATTGCAGTGGATGGTGAATAATCCTAGCGGTTCCTACTATTATAGCACCATATTGCAACAACAGAGAATCCCACCTCGTACATCCTAGGAATTTCAAAAATAAGATTGCATGCATGCAAGTTATAATGTTACTATGAAGAAGTGTTATTTTGTGTTTGTGTGCTCTTCTTTTTTCTTTTTCTTTTTTTTTTTTTTTTTTTATCCTTTTTGTTTTAAGAAATAGTTAGCCGATTATGTTATTAAGAGAATAATGATTTTTCATTTTTCAAAATAATAATGATAATAATTTGTGGGCCGAAGCCTTCAATTGAAGACTGGACCCAATTATCATGCTTATATAAAGAAATGGTCTTTATGTTTTACTACATTCTAGTACAATGTTCTTTGCAAGAGCTCAAGCTTATCTAATGATAATTAGAGGCCCATAATTATCAGAAGTGATGTCTAACCGTCTGGGACATTTCCAAGTTTCAAGTTTTTAAACATCATTGCTGGAAATAGGGTATACAATGTCAATGTAGCTGGGCTCATTGTGACTTCTGTCAATTTCGGCTTTATGATGGAATTCTGCAATTTCGGCTCATCGTGACTTGTGAATATCTATCTTTACAAATTAGTGGGGGAAGTATCTATCTTCACGCTCCAAGTGCGAATTGGCGGTTGGAGTGGCAAAAATTGACACTATTTGCTAACACGATTCGAACACGATACAAGTTAAACGGATTTGGATTAATTTTAAACGGATTCGGATCATAAACGGGTCGACACGATTAACCCGTTTAGTTAATCGTGTCGTGTTTGAATTGATAGGTTTAACCCATGTAACCTATTTATACACGTTTAACTATATATATCGTAAGTAAATTTCTATTTAAGTTCTAAAAATATTATATAAATTTGTGTCTTATAATTTGATTTTTTGTAAACTAGAAACTATTTAGTAATTTGGTTGATGAACTTATATATTTTTTAATATTTATTATTTTATTAAGTATTATTAATAATTTAAACAATATAATTTAATTTTTTTTTTAAATAGGTCAAATGGGTTACGTGTTGAGAGTTATTGACATGATTATTAAACAGATTGTATTCGAGTTGAGCTGTTTAATATAATATTTTAAAATTAATACGACACAATTATGATCTGTGAATACAAATTACCACCTCTAATTAACAATGTGAGAGAATTTTTTTCTTAATTTATTAATTCAATTTTTTACTTCCCCATTTCGTAATGATTTCTTGTTATTGTATTATTTATAATGACATATAACATTTTACATTTATTATATTACTCCGTATATCTGATCACTTAGATGTGAAGTTTTTTTGGCAACCAATCTCCTTCAGTAGCGAGCTTTCAAAAAAATTTACTAGGTAGTTCAAATATAATGCGGGCCGAGACCCACACTATAAAGGGGCATGGTAAAGGGGCATG